CTGGTACAGATTCAGATGGAAAGAATTTTAAAATCATTTCGATCCATATGTTCAAGAATAGGAGGTAAAAGAGAAAACATCCAGCAGACTTGAGCTTACCAAAAAAAGGAAAAAATCAATGCAATACACAAAATCAAATTTAAAATTCATTAGGCCTAGTAGAACAGGCAAGTCTGTAAGCTAATATGGAACATGCTGGAAAAGTTTGAGAAAATGTTGAGGAAAGAGAACAGATTGGAAAAAAAAGATTTTGATGAAGACTGGTTAAGAATTTCCAGTAAGGAACAGGATGATGCCTTGAAAGCGATGAGCCTAGAATTTCAGGTTTGAAATCATCCTTCGATGATATAGGCAAGATTGAATTGTATATTTAAAATGGGTGAATCATATGTAAATCTTACCCCAATAAAAGTGTTACCCTCAAAGAAAGAAGATTTCAAAAACTAAAAGCTAACAGAAATCACTGACAGCAAACCTGGCAATGAACTATATGCACTCACGCAACACACGATATTTTGGCCAACACCTGACCACACGGTGACAGTGGTCCCCTAGGATTATGTTGCATATCGCTGTCACAACATCTATGCACCTGCTTATCAATGCATTTCTTAGGACATATTGTCATTCTAAAGCAACAAATGATTGTACTAAGTAGAATAATTCATGCAGAAACAAAAACCAGTCTGCCAGGGAAATAGCTCAGCAGCAAAGCGCCTGCCTGGCAAGTGCAAGGTCGTGAGCTAGAACCCTGGTACCAGAAGAAGGAAAAACACCAGTCATACCAGATGGAAGAAAAATAGAACAGAATGAAAAAATACCACCAAGTATTAATATGCAGGCAAGCACAACTGAATATAGACTTTAAAAAATAGCTAACAGAATTCTTCGTTTATTCAAAAGAAGTTAAGAGATCCAGCATAGTGGCACACATTGGTAATGCCAGCATTTGGGAGGCTGAGGCAGAAGAATCACTTCATGTTCTAGGCCAACCTGAACGACAAAGTGAGTTCAAGGACTGGAGACTTAGCTCAGTGGCATAAGCACCTGCTTTGCAAGCACATGGTCGTGAGTTTGATCCCCGGTACAAAAAAAAACAAAAACAAAAAAATTCAAAAAACCAAAAAACAAAGTGAGTTCAAAGCCAGCCTGACTATCGAGACCCCTGTTTCAAAGAAAAAAAAAAATTAGTAAAAGAGAAATACAGGAGCAAAGTGGAATTAGGACAAATGAAAAAAAAGTGACATAGAAGACTTACAACCAGTAATGAACATGTATTAAAACTAAGGGAACCAGATATCCAACACTACAAGTACCTTTCCCACACAGAAAACTCCCTCACACGGCTTTGATGGTGAACTGTTTTAAACATTTAAGGATGGACAGAATGACAATGGACAACACTCTTCCAGCCTATAAAGAGAGAGAACATTCCCATCTTACGAGGTCAAAACACTCCTGATACACAATTTGATAGAGATATAAAAGAAAGGAAAATCACGTCTGTCGTTTTGCACAGACTCAAAAGCCCTAAGCAAAATTAGCAAACTGAATCTATAACAGATGAAAATAACAATACTTTGGAGCAAGTGGAATTTATTCCAGGAATAAAAAATTTGAAAATCAGTATTATTTATCACTGTAAGACAATAAAAAATTTTATGCTCATCTGAATAGAGGCAGAAAACTACTTAATGAACATTTTTCAGAAGCTGGTGTGGTGACAGATGCCTGTAATTCCAGCATTTGGGAGGCTGAGGCAGGAGGATCATGGAGGGCTCGAGGCCAGCCTGGATTACATTGAGTTCAAGGCCAGCCTGAATTATATAGTGAGATCCAAAAAATTATATAGTGATCTCAAAAAAACTACCAACTGAAAAAACAAAAAATTCCCAAAAAAACTGGGTAGTGAAAAGTTTTTTTAAAAAAAAATTGTAAGATAAAGCCTCTCTATGTAGTTGAGGGGGCCTTGAACTAGAGATCCTTCTGCCCCAGCTTCCTGGATGCTGGAATTACAGGTGTGTGCATAATGTCCAGCTAATAAAATAATCATAACCTGGTAAATATCTGTAAAAATTTCCAGAAAGCCAGGTACAGTTGTGCATGCCTGTAATCTCAGCTACAAGGGAGGCTGAGACAGGAGGGTCACATACTTGAGGCAAGATTGAGCAGTGTAATGACACCCTGTATCCAAATAAAAGGACAAAAACGGCTGGGGGTGTGTGGGGATGTAGCCCAGCACTTCCTGAGATCAACCCCCAGAGTGTAACAAAACCAAACCAAACCAACACCAAAAACCTTCACAACCTTGTGACAAACATTTAATAGGACAAAAACACTAACCATAAATAAAAGGTTGTTATATTAGACTCTACAAGAATTTTGGTCATATAAGGAAGTCTTTTAGAAACTGGAAAAAAAACAATGAAAATATATTTATAGTAATATATCAGACAAAATCTTCTGCCCATTAAATAAATATAAGGAAGCCTTGTAAGCCAATTAGGAAGAAAAAAACCATAAAAATATGGACAAATGGCTTGGAAAGCCACTTAACAAATGAGGACAATCAAATGGCTAATAAAAATAAAAACAGTGTTCCATACATCAGTGGTTCTCAGGGAAATGCACATGAAAACCACGATCGAATACTCATTTGCCAGAATGGCTGAAATCGCTAAGCTTGTGGTAGCGGGTACAGAGAGGGATGCAGAACAACTGGAACTCTTATCCACTGTTGGTAACAGCACAGATTTTCAACCAATGTTGAAAAGTGTGGCAAAATCTTCTAGCTAAATGTACACCCATGCTGTGGCGTGGCACTTTCCCTGTTATGTATAAAACCACGGGAAATAAGTGTACCATCCGCTAGAAGATATGAACAAGAACACGCGTAGCAGCTTTACAGAGAAAAGCTAAACATTAGAAACATCTCAAATGTGCATCAACAGAATGAATGAGTGATGTGCAGTACTCACCCGGAGTGCTAGACGGCAGGCACAGAGCCGACGGTGGTTACTGCCACCTGCAACATCGATGGGCTCCAGACACAATGCGGATCAAATAAAACCAGACACAAAAGGATACACACTGCACAGTTCCATGAACAGGAAGGTTCAACGCCAGGGTTAGGAAAATGGTCATGATAGGCACCACCTGGGAGCCCCGTCTTCCTCTGGGTGATGGGGTTGGGAGGTGCTTAGATGGAAAAATTGGTGAGCTGACTCTGTAAGGCTTGTGCACTTCGCATATTAATACTGCAAGAGAGGTTTAAAAAAGCATCTTCAGGGTCTCCGTGTGGTCCTGCTGCGACATGTGAACTGGTTCCTCTGGCTGTGCCTGTGCTCTGGAGATCGGGGAGCAGGAAGGCTGGGTCAGGGTGAGGGAGGAGGGAATCACCCCATGGATCTCCAGAGAAAAACAGCGACAGGAGCCCTTCACCACATGGTGGACAAAGCTTTCAGAAGGATTTATTTATATGGCCACTGAGGTAGCATTTCTGTAAAGCAGCAGTGTCCACAGGACGTGTTTAGGAAAGGGGGACACATTTAAGGCACCCCCTTCCCACACGACACCATTATTGCCTCAATCTGAACTCATTATCACCCCCAATTTTTCCCTTGTTTCAATCATTGGTTCATTTCAGGGATATTTATTATTATCTATAAATGGTGACCCCTACACGGATACAGTAAGGTGAGCGGAATGCCAGTGCGGGGTTTATTAATGTGTGTGGGTTCATAATGGGAAAACAAAAAAGTGATGTACGGAAAAGTACACACCGAGTGTGGGATCCACTGAGGCAGTGATGGACGACAAAGGCAGACAGGGGCAGCGTTCATTTGTTCTGGGACTTGATTGTACTTTTTAGTGACCCACACAGAACGGAAGAAAAGGGCTTTTGATTTTTAATTTCTCATTTACCTTTTAGTAAGAAAAACTTTTTTTTTTTTTTGTCTTTTTCCTTTTTATCGGTACCAGGGATCAAACTCACAACTGCCTGCTTGTAAGCCAGGCGCTGATGCTGCTGAGCTAAATCCCCAGCCCCCCAAAACTCTTATTTTTATGGTAAAGCTCTGGGAGAATGTTCATAGAGGTTACTGCAGCTGAGGTTACTTTCCAAAGTTTCAGTTCCATATCTAAGGGTAGACATTTACCATTTTAGATAGAAATACACCAGATGGACACCTAAATGCCAGCCTTTAAAAAAAATTCCTCTATGTGTACATTGTGATTTCCTCTTCCTTTTAGAAAATTACGCCATAAAGTTTTCAGAGATATTTTTCAAAACTTTAGTACGTAAAGCATGAAGTTTTTATGTGATGCGGCATCTTATTTCTGTTCTTATTCATGGAAAGATGGAGTATTACTGAGCATTCCTCTTGCCCATGTGTGTAATTTTAGCAAAAGGGATTGCAGTTCGGGAGCTTTATTTTAGCTTTGAGCGATCAAGTGCTGACCACCGCCCAGGTCTGCAGAGCACAGCTGTAACACACCCACCCCGACACAGCAGGACGCAGTTCACACGACCAGCTTGTTGTACACTTAAAAATTAAACTGCAGTGAAAGATGTCAACAGCTCCAAACTTACTGGATTCTAAAACAAAGCAAATAAGGGAAACAATGGTTTTCCAACCCATCTACAAATAGAAATGTCAGAAAATAGAAGTCACAGTATTCTACTAGCATAACGTCAATTTCCTTCTCTAAGTCACGACACACCATTTTTGTTCTTTTGATTTTCATCTTCTCTTTTTTTCTGGTACTGGGTATTAAATACAGGAGGACCTTCACACTGAGTTATACTCAATCTTTTACTTTTAATTTTAATTTTTAATTTTGAGATAGGGTATTGCTAAGTTGCCCAAGCCGGGCTAGAACTTGTGATCTTCCTGCCTCAGCTTTCTAGGGTGCAGGGATTAGAGGTGTGTACCACCACACTTAGCTTTTTCTCTTTTAAATATAGGGCAACTTGAAAACATAAATGAAAAGGCAAAAACTTTTGGGAAAAGACAAGCATTCCACTGGATTTTAAAGTAAAATGACAAATTTTACAAGACCATACAAATTAAAAGTGTTATACAACAGAAAACAACACAATTCTAAGTATTATCCCAGATGCCTGTGTTCTGAAGACCAGCTGTATTAAATACAAATTTTATTTCTTTGAAGTCTTCAGTGCTTTACAATGGACCAAGGAGCACTTTAGGAAACTACTACAAAATATCCTTCCAGCTACCCCTGCAGACATACACCAGGAAAATCAAGCCTGAAGACTAAGTACCAAGAATCCTGTCTTTTTGTTTCCTTTTTTTTGGTCTTTTCCCTTTTTATCGGTACCGGGGATCGAACTCATGACTGCCTGCTTGCAAGGCAGGCGCTTATGCCGCTGAGCTAAATCCCCAGCCCTAAGAATCCTGTCTTTTAATACAGGCTCCTAAATACTAAATAGCATTTTGCCAGGTGATAAGTAAAGAATAAAAGGAAAGGGCTGCTAATCAAGATACCTAACAGCTATTTGCACTTATATGAAGACAACACCAGGTATTTGGGAGCCACTTTTGTTTCTTTTCCTTTTCAGCCCAACAATTTTAGGAAACTATAGAAGTGCTTGCACCTGCTTACTTTCCAAATGCGTGAAATAAGATGATCAGCAGCTCCGGGAGGGTGAGAAGCAGCTGGATCAACTACTTCACTTCAAAACAGGGACCTGGGCATGCAAAGAAGAGGGCTCAGAGGAAACAGGGTTTCTTGCAAGTTTTGTAGGTAAGCACGCTCAAGATGAGGTGTGAGATGAGACTGATGAATACCCTCAGGAAGGTGCTGCCCCCTTGAATACATGCTGCTCCCTGCCCTCAAAACAAGATTTAAGTACCTGCTTTTAAAGAAAGCATTCTTTCTTTTTTTGTGTGACATTTTGAGACAGGGTCTCACTATGCAGTTCAGGCTGGTCTCAAGCTCACTTTGTAGCCCTGGCTGGTCTGGAATTTGCAATGATCCTCCTGCCTCAGCATCCCCAGTCCTGGGATTATAGGCATGCATCACCACGCCCAGCTAAGAAAGCATTCTTTCTAGAGAATATCACAACCTGGAGTGAAGTTACTTAAGATAGCAAATAAAACCTTTATGTTGCTGTAGCAGCAATTTTCTTTGAGCAGATCATACTTAAAATATTTGATACATACTTCCTGTTACTTGTATTTTTTTTTTTTACCGGTACCAGAGATCGAACTCAGGACCACACACTTGCAAGGCAGGTGCGTATGCCGCTGAGCTAAATCCGCAGCCCCTATGTACTCGTATTTTTAATTTTGAGTTTTATAGTGACTCATGTTTACAGTCCAATTCCATTAGCCCTTTCTGCGTTCATCTTGGTACCAGATCACATTAGCTGGTGACAATGGCCACACATGTGGGCACACATCTAAATCAAGACCGGATCTTTTTATACAACTGAATACTACTCTGCCATAGAGAAAGATAAACTTGAGACTTCTATACATAAATGGATGCAACGTGAGACCATACTCGTATGTGAAATGAATCAGATTCACACATGTAAATATAGTATGTTCTCCCTACTGTGAGGAACAGAGAGAGTAAATAAGGTCCAAAACGCACAAGCGATGCTGTGAAATGGGAAGAAATTATTCAGAAGGAAAAAGGTCCTAGGATGGGGGAGGGGAAAGGAAGGAAGGGAAAAGGAAAAAAAAAAAAACACAAGATAGTTATTCCACTAACGTCTCTTGGTTCATGAAAGAGAGGTTTGTGCTAATACTGTTTGGAGAATTTTTATATCTTATGTCTTGTATTCTGATTGCCTACTTTAAAGATAACAATACTCAATACATTAACTATTATTATTCTCTCATTATTTTGTTATGAAATTTTGTTTTACTTTTTCTCCATAAAATTAAAAAAAAATTACAAATAATTAAAGACTAGAAACCACACTGCTATCGGGCAAGACATTTGAGGGGCCAAATATCGTAATTTTAAAGTAATATATTGTGTTACAGTAACTCACCTGTAAGACAATTATTTTGACATTATGTAAGTGGTATATTAGAACTTAACTATTTACTGAGATTTTAAAGAATATTAGAAGTGTTATTACATAAACACCTGAAATGAGCCATTAAGTATTATTACTGGCCACTGGAAGAACACTCAAAATAATCTAAGGTCTAAGACAAACATAGAACCAATAGTTTAGAAATGTTCAGCATCATAAGGTGCCTTGTTCTCCATTTTTTCCCTGTCTTTTTGAGACACGGTTTCACTATGCAGTTCACTCTGGCTTTGAACTAACTTTGTAAACCAGGCTGGCCTTGAACTTATAGTGATCTTCCTGCTTCAGCCTGATGAGTGCTGGGATTATAAGCATGTGCCACCATCCCCAGTGGGTGTCCTGCTCTTTTTTTTTTTTTGGTACCAGGGATTGAACTCAAGACCTTGTGCTTGCTAGGCAGGAACTATCCCGCTGAGCCAAACCCTGGGGGCCCTGTTCTTCATAAACAGTAACAGGTGTTTCAAATAGAGGCAAGGTGTACAATTAGCAAGAAATTGTATACTTTTATAAAGTATTTGAGTACATATTTAAAAAACCAGTCACTGTAATCCTACTAGAATTCTTTAAAATAACTTACTTATATTTAAAGAATTACCAAATGTTTATGAGAGTTAACATTCTTGTGCAAGAAATAAACAGTAATCAGAAAGAATTAAAAGGCAATCTTTTGTAAGTAAATGAACCTGTGACTGCAAAACAGTCATGTTGAAATTAACTTATAAGACTGAAGTGCTATTCCAGCAGTGCAGGGGTTTCATATTTTATGGAGATTTGGAGACCTAAGAATTGAGAACTATTTTCTGAATCTCCTTCCTCTCTTGCTTCTCCCTTTTCCTATTACCTCTCAATGTATTAGGTGCAGATAGTTAGAAAATGTATGACTCAGACTCACGATGGTATATATTACATACTACACAGTCAAACGGGGTAGAAGGGAGGAGATGAGTTAGCTTTATCCTCCAAATTAGTACCATAAAAAGGATTTAATGTATACATGTTTCCCTTACATTTATTTTATTCTTAATATTAAAAGTCCTTACATTTGATATTTTCATAGGAAGTATTTTTTATTGTTTAGTTTTCATGGAATCAAAGGAAAGCTCTGTGAATTTGTTTTTTTTATTGGTACCGGGGATCGAACTCACGACCACCTGCTTCCAAGGCAGGTGCTTATGCCGCTGAGCTAAATCCCCAGCCCTAGCTCTGTACATTTTAAGGCGTGGTGCCCTGCGCACTAAAAGAGCCCGCACAGGACTTAGCTGCTGTGGGGAAGCATGGAAGGCTGCCTGTGGGTGTGTGAGGTCGCTGACGATGGTGACGCCTGCCACGAGAGTGCAAGGCTGTGTGTCCTCTCAGGAACTCAACACTCATTCAAGAAACTCAGGCTGGTTCAGCGAGAGACTGAGAGCTTTACCTTTTCTCCCTCCTCTTACTCTGCCTGCCTTTGCCCATTTCAGTGCCTTCCAGAAGATGCAAGAGAAAGAAACGAAAATTAAACCCATCGCATTTCAATGCTCACCATGAGTGACTCCCACCAGCAGTCACTGGGGTACAGTGACTCTGGACCATTTTTCTGGATTATTTTCTGTTGGCAACAAAGTCCCTTCAGTTCGTACTTTGCAACTCATTTTTTACCAAGATCCATAGTTTTAAAGTTGACTTGAACATAACCCGAATATATCCAATGTAAAAACAAATGGGCATTTTCTTCTAAATTTGTATACAATGAGATTACTTTTTATGAATTAGTTATAGTTAAGGAAAAATTCATGCAAGATCTTTCACCCTTACTGGGGATGACTGAAGTCTAGGAGTGAAATCATTCACTGATCAACAGATAATCATGCAGTCATTTAGGTCAGGGAAAAGTGTAAAAAATTATTCCCAATAATCATTGTGGACAAAAATATGAAAATGAATACAATTTTTTGAAAATATTTTAATAGTTGCCATTTTGTTGCCTGTGCTATTAATATATACATTGATTTAGTAATAAATATAATTTCATGACATAGAGTGCAATAGTTTTAGTATTCATAACTGGTTGAAATTAATGCTGCTATTACTTCAAGAAAGGGATAAATAAATACCATGCCCAAATTCCAAACTAATGCTCAAGAGGCTATCATTAACAAAACTATAAAATAAACTTGTTGGGCATTATCTTTTAAAGCAAGATTCCTGTAAACATAACAACAGTCACTTTTCTCAGTCCTGATATTTCACATGATGGCTTGAAAAGAAGCATAACATACAAATCCTAACACTTCATGTTTTGCATAGGGAATGGATTCAATTTTAAAATGCGGCAATCTTTCCATGAAATGTCTTCAGCACATAGCACTTGTTTTTGTATGAATTCAGAACTCTGGAGCAATAAAAGTGCTCTGCATAAGTTTATAAAATATGCTTTCTGGATTCAAAGTTTAACAGAAAAGTTTCAAAACAGGTCAAAGGTATGAGTCTAAAATATTATGTACATAATAAATGACTACAGGAAGAACTGTCTCACCGTAGTCCAACACAGTGTACAAATATGAAGCACAGTGTTGAGTATAATTTCCCTTTAGTTTTTCCTCAGATTGGTGCATAAGTGGCTACCAACTCATACAACATGCCCCACTCTACTCGTGGCATACAAAGCAGAAGAGGGAGTAAGGACAAACTTTAAGTAGATAACGGGAAAGAAACCGGCAAAAATACAGTACATGTGCTTTAGACAGTGCACTTTATAAAACCGACTGCTCTATTCACATCCTTTTATAAAGTGCAATATTACTTAACACACAGAGACATGTACCTTAATACTCTGAAATAACCATTAAACAAACTGCCAGAAAAGAGCAGTGCAAAATTAAAAACATACGCAGCATAGCATGCATCGCAGATGGATCCCAGCTACACAGCATGGGACCTGAAGTTCTTGTATCTTTCTTTTAACTTTTAGAAAAAAGATTAATAGCAGGTTATCATCATATATAACAATAAAATAAAAACAATAAGTTAAAATTCTCTCTCAAGAAATAAGTATATGTCACACATAAAACTCATTACAGACTCTTTTCTTGAAACAAGACTCTTTCCTTGGATAAACACTACCCAAAGGGTGCAAATCTCTGAAGGGCCCAGCTGGCCACCAGGCACAGCACAGGCCTCAGCATGTCCCACCGGTGGGCACCGGGACACCCGGGACATCCGGAGTGGGAGCTGCCGCCAGCTCCTACTTAAATTTACAGCAATTGTTTGTTCTTTCACGAATGGTCCTGTTGTCATCACGGCAGGTCACTAAAAATATCATATGTGTTCTGTTCACAGTAACATTCTCGGTCCAGTGCTCTTGGACCAGGCGAACCAACAGGTTTTCATGGAAAAAAAAAAAAAAAAGTCCTTACGAGGAGGCAGATTCCAAGGAGACCGAGGAGAGGCGTTTTTGAAGCACGGAGCATCACCTCTGGTGCGCCCAGGGAAGCAAGCGTGCAGCGGCTCACTGCCGACATCCCTACCCTGCTCCGCCACTGGTCCGCTAGTCGGAGAACTGGAAGAGGGTCTCGGGGTGGGCGCCGTCCGCGGCGTGGCTGGGGGGCAGCGCCTTGGTGGGCGTGGTCTTCCCGTGCGAGTGCGAGGAGGACGAGTGCGAGCTCTCGCTGGAGCTGCTGCGCGTCTCCGTGCTCGTGCTGGTCTTTTTCATTTTCCTTCTCTTGGCCAGCGGGGCCTTGTCGACATTCTGCAGGCAAAACCCCTCTCTCTTGTATTTGTTAAAGGCCTAGGGGAGGAAAGAGGGAAGCCCTGAGAAGACAAGCACGCAGACTTCCTGCCCTGTGACTCAGCCCACAAGACAACCTTCACTGCCATCCCCTGCCTCAAGGTCTGCGAACAAAGCTCCGACGACCTCCTGGCAGGAGCACAAGTTCCTGGGAAAAGTTTCTGTGGGCTGTGTGCGCGCATCAAGCCGCCTGGGCCACCCAGGAGTCGGGGGTGTGTGTGTGCACGCAGGCACGCACGTGTGTTATGGGGACGAACTGCAGGCAAGGGACCTACCACTGGGCCTCACCTCCAGCTCGCAGAACCCGCGGGAGATGGCAGCCCACATCCCAATCAGAAACACTGGCTGGAAATTTCTGAAGAGCAGCAGTCCTCTCCATTACTTGCCTGGTTCTATTGCTAAGATTCACATTTCCGACCACAAATCTCCAACGCTGAGTAGCCTCAGGCCTCTCAGGGCAGGTGGCCCTGAATTTTCTCTGCCTTGGGTATGGGCAGGTCCGCGGGGACTCTGAACAAACTCACATCAGGGGACCCTGAGAAGATCTGGGTCACCTGGTGCAAATTCTGAGAGTTACTTTCTCCACTCCTCAACATTTTCATCTATTACTTTTTAAGGTTCAGTTCTGAGCTGAGAAGCACTGTTGTTTTTCCTTTCTCAAGACAGTCCCCTTGGCAATAATTTTATTTCTCCCTCATTCATCTACTCCTAAGACTGATTATCTTTTTGCATTTATTTGGCACAAAAGTCTCCACCAAAAGACACACAGCACTTTAAATAGATGAATGGAGAGGAGGTCTGAGGCTAGTACATAAGAGCATATGATGGGGACCCTTCCCAAGCCCCCTGAGGCGTGCACGGTGCAGTCCTTACATGGAAGGTTGCTTTCACACAGGTGTGCACAGCAGCTCCCGAGGATCCCAGAATGTCTGGGGTCATCAGAGGATTTGAGGACAGCTGGCTGCCATCTTGAAGCCATTCATTGTATCTCAAGCCAGACATTTTAAGCCTTTTATTTGGATCAACTGTGAGAAGTCCTATGGGAACAAATAAAGTATTTTAGGATTTGCTATTCTGAACAGTTTAAAAATGGACCTCAGACCTAAATTTCAATTATGTTCACACAGAATGATGGTTTTAGTAAGGGTTCAGCTTCCTACAAAGATAACTGCACATTTCACACACATTTCGGCTGCCCGTGGACGTTGATAATAAGGTCACAATGGTCTATGTCTAGAAGGCTGTAGGATACCTGGCTTTTCAATCAGGAGAAAATCACCATCCAAAGCAGACTCACGCTGGTGAGCTGGTGAGCCCCAGATGAAGAGACAGCACCAGATCTAACTCACTCACATGCCAGACATTCACCAGCCATCTCCCACAGGTCAGGAGTGCAGGAAGGCGATAGGGTCACGGAGGTGGAGGCCCACAGAGAACAGGCAGGGGCACAAAGACCGACACCAGCTGCTCTAACATGAGGGGACAAGTGCAGAGTGTGGTAGCAGGCCCAGGAGAAGCACTCCGCCTACGGAGCTGGGCATCCTGGGAGTCTTCCGAATGGGAAGTGGGGTAGATGATGACGCGGCTCCAGTGATTAAGAAAAGCAAGGGGAAGGAAATGCAGAGACTGAGTACTTGGCACATCTGAGGAATTCCAGTATTTCACAGTGGCCAAGGTGACAAGGAAGCAGAGGCAGGCAGGGCCGGTCCTGAAGGCTTACATTCTGAACATTAGGATAAGTATCGAGTCTCACCTGAAGCTAGCAGAAATTCTCCAAAACATTCCTACCCAAGAAGTTATGGTCACATTAGTCACTCTGGTCATAGACGATGGACAGGTAAAGTCAGAGAAGTGAGACATGTGGAAAGGGTGCTGCAGGATTTTAGCCAGAGCACTGATGGCAAGAATAAAGGAAAGGGCCTGTGAATGGGGAGGGGCGGTTAGTGCACCTGCAGAGCCGCCTAACAGGCTGTGGAGGGCGAGGACGGTGCAGGCAGCAGGGGATGCCAAGGTGCCTGTCTCAGTGACCTTGTTTTTAGGTAACGCTGCCATCCAAGAGAAGGAGACAGGAGGGGGACCATGGTTAGGGAAACGGAGGGTAGAAAAGCACAGGTTTGTCTTGGATGTTTGGCTTGGATGTGAGGGTGCCAGTGGAAGCCAAGCTCCAGTTTATGTTGGAAATGTGGATAAGATTCATGGGAGAGTGTTCTAATAAGAAAATGAGGCCGAAGACAGAAGCCTGGTAAGCCTCTGAGAACACAGGTGGATTCCCTGAGTAATTTACAAACACATATACATGTGACGGGCATGATTTCACTTCAGTTAGGACATATGCAGAATACCAAACTTCATAATATTCTTACCTTGGATCAGATCTTTAGCCTCTTGAGATACATTCTTCCAAGCTTCCCCTTCAAAGGAGAAATCTCCCTTTTTAATTTTCTTCATGATTTCCACCGCACTAGTGCATGTCAAGCTTCTGTCATGAGACTGGAATGGAACCTGCCCTGACAACATTGTGTACTGTCATGGAAAAAAGTAAAACAGAATGACTGCCACGATCACTGTCCAAGCCACCCCAGTAAGCCTCTTACTAACTCAATCAGCGTGATTTGACAACTATTATGACTGGCATTACTGGGTTTAAAATTATGTGATTCTATCACTGAAGTAATAAGCACATTTTAACTCACAAATACATAAAGTAGTATGGCTTTTTATGATACCAAAATTGAAAGCCATTTTAATAATTACATAGTTCCACCTTCCCAAGAGGAGTGAGATGTTACAATTTTAATTAGTTATCTAGCAATCAACTTTTGATGAGAGTAATTTTCTAAGCTGAGTGTGGTGGTGCATGCCTGTGACCTTAGCACTCTGAGGCCAGAGGATTGCAAGTTGTAGTCCAGCTTGCTGGGGAGGTAGTTCTGTGTGAAGGATCTGGGTTCAAACCTCCTCCATAGCAGGAGGGAAAAAGAAAGAATAATTTTCTGTCTACCAATTGTCTATAAATAGTGTAACAAAAGACACAGAGATATACCTATGTGTATGTAAACGCAGACATAGCTATAAGTTTGTCTGTTTCTATATATGTACTGCATATGTCCATGAGGGAAGAAATGTATGCACACAAGAGAAAATTAGAAAAAGTAAATGTAGCAAAATGTTAGATGTTTGCAGTATTACTTTACAATCTCTAGTTTTTAAATTTTCAAAACAAAATTTGAAGTATAAAACACCTGCAGAAAATATGTATTAAATGGAATTATGTGTCACTTCACGGGTATGTTATAGATCCTCTCTTATATTTTCTAAAACCTTTTAAGTGCTGAACTTTTGAGTTTCCTCCTAAATTCATACCTTGATCTCTATCCTCCCATACAACTATATTTAGAGATACAGCCTTTATGGAAGTAACTAAGGTTACATGAAGGTAGGGTTTTGATCCAATAGGCTCATGTCCTGAAAGCAGTGGACACCACAGAGCTCTCTGTGTGTGAGCGTGCACCAAAGAAAGTGTACATGAGCACACGACAGCAGGCAGCCAGGTGTAACTCAAGGGGAGGGTGCACCCCAATAACCAATGCTGCCGCCAGCCTGACTTTGGCTTGTCCAGCTTCCAGAACTGTGGAAAAATTTAAAATGCTGTCATTTAAGTCACTTAGTATCTTAGGGTGTGGTATTTTGTTATAGCATCACAAGTAACTTAATATGCTATGTAAACACTATTTAAAGCTTTGTGCATTTCAGACAGGAATTGTTACATGTATGGCATATACTGCTGAAATCAAAGTCACATAGGACATGTAGATGTCTTTTCCTGGAGTACTGATTTTATTCAAAGAGGGTGAAGTAACTTATTTTCATGTTAAAATATCCATATTCACATTTATTAGATGTGAAACACAAAAGGGCCATGCATTTCAAAGGCAAGTCAGGAAGCTCCAAATAAATTGTGTGCTTTCTGTGAGATGATTCAGGATTTGTGTGTGTATGTCTAAAGACACGCATTCATTTTGTAATGCATTCTCTTTTCATGACAGTTTAATGCAGGTGCTAATTCTGTTCATTTTCTTCCATAACTATTTCATCATGTATCTCTAAAGGAAAGACTTTTACAAACCATAACCACAACCCAACATCGTATCTAAAAAACTATGGCAACTCCATACTGTCATTCAATATCTAATCAATGTTTAAATTTCCCTCATTGTGTTTTATATGTTACAATTACACCTATATAAATTATTTAGAATTTGAATTTAATAAATCAATTTAAATTATAAATTGCTTGAATCAAAATTTGAGAAAGATATGAGTATTGTTTCTTAAGTGTCTTGACATATAGGTTCCCAAATCCTTTTCTCACAATTTATTGGCTTAAAAAATTGGTGGTCTGTTTTTAGGAACTGCTCACAGTCTGTCCAGACATTATGATTGTATTTTGTGGTTCTACTTAATCTAGTTTGAATTCTGTATTTTCTTAAAACTCTGACAATCAGTGCTTCCATTCATGCAGCTATGGAAAATTATTTCTACAAAAAATGACATTTAGAGGCTCCAAAACACCTTTCTGTGTGTCTAATATCCTTAAAATTTTCAAAAGTTTGATGGTCATAATTAGCCTAGATGTGAAGTGTATTCTCTTTTATTACAGAAAAGGAAATTAATACTAAAAATGAAGGCTTTTATTTATTTACATTTTTTTTTTTTTTTACTGGTACCAGGGATTGAACCCACGACCGCCTGCTCACAAGGCAGGTGCTTATGCTGCTGAGCTAAATCCCAGCCCCTATTTATTTACATTTTGGGAGACACTGTTATTAATAAAACTGTCATCAATTTAAGCCCTTACAACTCTTGAATCTATAGAATATAATTGTTTACTTTTACTAAGAATATTATTCATAAATAACTTTAGTTTGAGAATAATAAATTATGATTTAAGTTGCTCAGATGAAAATCACTTAAAGCTTAAAAATAAAGAAGTAGCATCCCCTAGGGACAAGTGGCCAGCCAATGAGGGGAAACAAACTGACACCAAAATAAACCCCAGATGGAGTACAGATTGAAGGGTAAAAATAAAACGGAGTGATTCCAGAGGAAAATTTAGGAGCATATTTTTAAAACATTGGGTTAAGGGTAGGTGTGGAGTGGCAATCTAACATCAAAGACACATACCGTAAAGGGAGAGGAGTGACATATCTTATGGAAAAACAAATACAAAACACAGCAAAATCTCTACGTAAACCCCTCTAAAAATAAAACCCAAATCCTCTATTATTATAAACAAAGTTTCCAAAACCAAAGATAAGCCAGAAAAACATTTCCAATATTGATGTTAGATAAAGGATTAAAATCCTTAATAGAGGTTTATAATTGAGTAAGAAAAGTCTCCTTGTAGGAAATGAGCAAAGCTTACAAAAAGCAGTTCATTTAAAGGAAAATACAAATATCTAAATTTATGAAGAGACAGTCAAACAATATTTATCAAAGAAATGCATGTGAATTATAAGAACAGTAGATTTACCTTAAGATAAAAATTGATAGCATCCAATGTACTTGCATATAGTTGGACTGCAACCCAGTATATCTTTCTAAAAGGAAATCTAGGTAGTATGTTGAAATCAAACTGTGTGTACCCTTCTGGGACTTTATCCCAATGAAATAATGAGACAAATGTAAATATGTATATAAGATATTCATTATTGCAGTTTATAATCAGTAAAAAACAGAAAAATGCTAACTGCTCATCAGTATGGTTAAATGAATTTTGGAGACTCAACCTACATGTATAATGAAGTCCCACTTACTAAAAACCTCACACGTATACACATGTGTAGCAAACACATAGAAGGGGATAAAGCACACACACATCTAGGGAGGGAAGGCTGGTGGGAGAAGGAGGCTTGGAAACATGTCTGCAAGGCAAAATTGTGATTTTCACTTTGTCTTTTGTATCTTACTGCACTGTCTGAAAATTTCCCCTAAGAACATGCATTACAAATTACTTTTTAAGTAAAGCTATTTTGAGGTAAAAAACATGCTGAGATTTTTCTAGCTTATTTGAGTTTTTGATCAAAGCAGCCAGGCAAATTTTTGGAAAGCATGCTCATCATGATTACTATAAACTGCATAAATATTTCTGGTTTTATCTATTAAATCGTTAGTTTTTCCTAAAGGATTTTAATTACACTTTCAGTCCAGAATTTCACAGAAGTTAAAATGCTTTTGCATTAACATAATTCTGCTTTTCTTACATTATATCCCATATAGTATGTGTCATGAAAACACACTGTCACTTCTTTAAAAAAAAAAAAGTATAACTTCCATTTATGTGAGTCACAGGTAACTTCAGTATTTCAAAATAAACGAAATTAAGTTTTAAGAAATGGATATACTCTTTGGTAAGGCCTTCAATTGGTTACACAGAAACCAATTTGTCATTTTTTCCCCTAAGTTTAAGACAAACAGCAGGAGGGGGCATGGACACACTAAGTATGGTGTATGGAGGACAGAAAGGCACGGGGCAGGTGTGCAGACCATTAAGATGGACTCACCAAGATGACACCCAAGCTCCACAGGTCACAGGACTCATCGTAGCCGTTATGATTCAAGAGTTCTGGGGCTGCATAATGAAGGGTAAAGCATGGCGTCTTCAGAGGCTGATTATCAGGGGGCTTGAGGCGCGCAAACCCAAAATCGATTACTTTAATTTCCAAGTTATCATTTTCATCAGTGAACAGTAAATTCTGTAAGACACCAATACTTCAGTTAGTTTCTCATTAAAACGTCAGGGGATCTGCTGCTCCTATTTATGGATTATTTTCTCTGTGTATATTATTGATATAGATACAACAATATTAAAATCAAGCCAAGCAATAATCCTACAATGGCCCCAAGTGCTCAACTGAAAAGAAGAGATGCATGACTCTTCCTCTAAATGAAAAAGCTAGGTTGTTAGTTAGGAAGACATGCTAAGCAAAGGAGGCTGAAAGCGAGGCTTCCACCCAAACAGGCAGGCTCAGAAGACAAAGGCAAAGTTCTGGAAGGAGATCGGAGCACTACTCCAGTGGACACAAAGATAACAAGAAAGCGAAAGACCCCTATCGTTGACATGAAGAAAGTCTGAGTGGCCTGGATACAAGATTAAGTCAGCTACAGCTTCCCTGAAGCTCAAGTCTAAAGAGCAAGGGCTTAATTTTCAATTCTAGGAAGGCTGGGAGAGGTAAGGAAGCTGCAGAAGAAAGTTTGAAGCTAGCAGAGGTCCGTTCATGAGGATTAAAGAAAGATTAAATGTTGTTCCATGACCTAAAAGTGCAAGGTGAAGCAGTACATTTGGATGTGGAAGCCACGGCCAGGTGGCAGAGGAGTCAGCAGAGATCCCCGGGGCAGGTGGCTCCACTTCAGTGGAGATGGACCCTTCTGCTGGAGAAGACACCGTCTAGGAGTTTCAGAGCCGCAGAGAAGTCAAAGCTTTAAAGGGCAGACTGACTCTAAAGCAACTGATGGATTCCAGGGGAAGCCAATTCTCATTTAGCATTCTAAAAATCTGAGGGCCCTGCAGAATTACACAAAATCTACCCTGCTTGTGCTTTAGAAAAGGAACAACAAAGCTGGATTAACAACTTTATATATTTACAGCATGGCTTGCTGAATATTTTAAGCCTACTGCTCAGGCAAGAAGATTCAATATCACCATTCATTGACAATGCACCTGGCCGCTCAAGGGCCCAAGCAGAGATGCATAACATTAATGTTATCATCTGCCTGCTTGCACAGCACGCATTCCACAGCACACGGATCAAGCAGCAATTCTGATTTCCAAGTCTTATTATTTGTGTGTGTGTGTGTGTGTATTTATGTATGTATTTTTCAATACTGGGATTGAACCCTGGGCCTTACACACAGTAGGCAAGAGCTTAACCTCTGGAATTCACCTCCAGTCGAGTTGTATTATTTAAGAAAGGTATTTTGTAAGCCTACAGCTGCCATGTGAAGTGATTCCTCTGATGGATCTGAACAAAGTAACCTGAAAACCTTCTGGAAGGATTTGCTAGTCTAGATGCAACTTAAGAACATTTGCAATTCATGGGAAGAGGACAAAACAGGAACATTAACAAGAATTTTAAAAGGATTCCAACTTTGAAATCCTGCTGTAGGTGAAATGCTATAAAACCGTATCATATGCTACAGAGAAACCTTTCACAAATGGATGCGTTAATCACTGGAATACCAACAACACCACCCAGATGCCGACCAGTCAACATCCACCAGCCTCCAGGCACAACTCTGCACCGGAAATGCCTGAGCCTCACTGTATGGTTAGGGCGCCATTAGAAATTTTTAGCAATAAAATATTTTAAAATTAAGGTATGTGTATTGTTTTTTCAGACAATGTTACTGCACCTACCATAGACTACAGTGTAGTGTAAAAATAACTTTTATATGCACTGGAAAACCAACAACTTCCCGTGACTTGTATTATTGTGACCATCACTTCACTGTGGTAGTCTGGAGTCAAACCCACAATATTACTGAACATATATTTGTTCACTGAATAAAGTAATTGAAAAGTGACACAATATCTAGGATAGTCCATTAAAGAAAACATGGTGGAAATACACATTTCATTTCAGAAATCTTTTTCCCAAAACAGTTAATACTTAGATATATTCTGATGTTTAGGGACATACCCCAAATATTAAGATGACACTGTTAATGTGAAGCACACATCCACCCAGGCTTCTACATCACTAAGGGTTTCCTATACTACTTTTATGCCTGTCATATACTTCATAAATGATAACTGTACTACTGTAGAAATCATTTTAACCAGCATATCCAGTCAGTACTCAAAGTAAGTAAATATGATTAGACTGTCTTTGCCTTTATATTGATCAAATTATTCCCAGCCGTGGAACACAATTTGCTTTGTTAATAGTTGCTTTATTTCTAGTTGAAATAAAAGACATCACAGACAGCTTCTTTCATCTAAAGAAAAATCTTCTAAGCCTTTCACTTAAAAGTTGGAAATGAGCCAGGGGTTTGGCTCAGCAGTGTAAGCGCCTGCCTGGCAGGCACGAGGTCGTGAGTTTGATCCCCACTACAAAAAGGTTGGAAATGAATAAAGTGGGAGGAAAGAAAAGCAAAAAATTAACTGAATTTCTTAAAATTTCTGCCATACAATCCTGAACTAATTTGGATAACTGAAGACACAGCTGGGGTTCGTGGATGTTTTCTTTCAGCAATTAACACTTAAAGCCCTCTGCCGCACCAGACACTGTGCTCCCCAGAGCAGTGAGCCGCGCTTCTGCCCCTTTCTTTGTAGCCTGCTATGTCGCTGGAGCGCCCTTAAATTTATTCCATGTTAAGACTGGAGAAGGACTTCCGAGATGCAGTTCTTGAAGTGGAGGAGATGAGGGAATGTGACATTCACCCCCCTGGGGGCCTTCTCGCTCCTCCTCTTCCTGAGCGCGTAACAGTGGGAGCACCACCTACCTGCCTGCCCTCCTCACACACACCTGAGTCACAGACAGCTCCGCGTGGAGACGTGAGGACAGCCGTGGCCAGGAGTGGCAGGAAATACCCGGTCTTCCCCTTTATCATTTCCAGGTTCACGGGAAACTAATTTCATGTATACAGCTTAATCTTTCAAGAGCATGGGGCCAGTTTGAAAAATACAAAGCAACCTACTAAGAATGTCAGCCTACTTATATATTTATCTGATTTTTTACTTAGAACTTAAAGTTTTGCCTATGTGGAAAATGAAAGGCATATAAGCAAAAGATAATCAGATCTTAAAATGCTGCACAGGAAAGGGATTCAGTCTTTAGTTGAAAATTATACACCATGCCACTTAAAAGTCAAAGCGAAAGCTATATGATTATAAAGTTGCTATTTCAAAAGTATTTTATCACTTCTCTAAAATCTGGTTCAGTTTAAGATTATAATTATAGTAGGTTGTCCTCAATAATCTGACAATTCGCTTCATTTCAAATGAAGAAAAGAAGAAGAATTAAGCTACACAGTATCTTTTTACCAGGAAAGTAGAAAGACATATTTAAATTCTACCGCAGAGGACAGTTGCCTCATTTGAGACTCATGAGATGACAGATGGCCAGTTATCAAAGAATAAAACATGTGAAAATGAATTTTATACAGTCATGGAACAGATCTTCTCCATTAAAAAAACTACATGCCTGTTCCTTGTCTATCTATCAAGAAAACATTTAAGTGGTGTGCTTTCGCATTTAAAAATAGACAGCTAATCTCCAACGTACAGAGCACCATATTTGCAGTGGGCGTCACGTAGGACAGTGAGAACTTTGATGGAAGAAGCAGAGGGGGAGCTATCATAGTTGCAAGTTCACAAAACACAATTCGCTTTGGATTAATTACTTGTCATGTGAATAACAGTAATATAAAGTACACAGACAGAAGTTTAAATACTTTAAAGAAATAAATCAGAGTCAATTCGCCACAGTTGCGGGCTCTAAAACCGTGGATTCAACCAATCCAGGATCAAAAACAACATTGACAAAAAAATCACAGCTATACAGAACACATTTTTTCTTACCACTGTTCCCTAACCAATGCAGTATAACAGCTATTTACATAGCATTTACATTACATTAGGTATTATAAGTAATGCAGGGAGGATTTAAAGGCTATGGGAGAGTTTGTGTAGGCTACATACAAATAATGTGTCATTTTACGAAGGGCCTTGGCCAGCCCTGGGCTTGAGTATCCACAGGGATCCTGGTCTAATCCTCCAAGGATACTGTGGGATGACTGAACAGTTCAATGAATCGATTTCCTTTTTAAAAATATCATCTTCCTCTAGTAACTCAATATACTTAAAAAGGCAAAAAGCAGTGCCTTTAGAGAAATATATTTTTGTGGTTTAAAAAGAAACACTAACTACATTAATATTTTAAATATACTTGAAACACATTATAGTCACATGGTGACCAAAAAAGTTCTATTTTTGAGAAAACAGTATATATAATTTTGCATGGGGTAAGGGATGACTCATGTTTTCTTTTTATAAATGAATGTTTTTGGTTTTGATTTACATTATTATTGTGCTGGTTTTCAAAAATTTTTCACATTTTTCATAATAATGAGGGATTTGAGTTAAAAATTTCTTTAATAATCTTTTGAAGGAAGAAATATATAAAAAGCTTCTCCTTCTGCATTGCTACACTGTTCTAAAAATATTTCAGTCTGAGCAAAGAAAAGCCCATATAAAGATGGCACAATTTTTATTAAACCTGACAAAGCTTTGTGTGTAAGTATACAGAATAGAATTATATACATTTCTCCTCAGAGCTAAGTGATTTGATTACAAATGTGAAAAATAAACTTTAAGAATACCTTATTGTACAAACCCCTCTCCAAAATGGAATGCATATAGGAGGGACATTATTTTCTGTGACAAAATTTTCCATTGCTATTTTTAGTCTACAACTGTTGCATGAAGTATTTTTTCCATAAAAGGCTTTCACACTTACAAATATAACTTCAAGATGATCAGCTAGCAAAAAAATGACAAATTTATTTTAGAGTGACACAGAAAAGGAAAAAAACCTAAGAAGCATGTTTTTGAGCTTCTCTTTAGAGCCCTAGTGGGGAAAAACCAACCGCCCTGAGATCCCACATCTATTTGCAGGACATTTAATAATGGTGTGAGGTTTAATTACAGAAGCAACCACAGCGCTCGCTACCTCAGGTTTGAGATCTCTGTGCACTACCCCGACATCGTGCATGTGGCTCACTGCTGAAACGAGCTTCCGCATGATGTAGCTGGCTTCTGTCTCACTGAAGTGCTTCTTTTTCTTGATGCGTTCAAACAGCTCTCCCCCATTTAGAAGTTCCATCACCAGAAACGTATGAAGCTAGAAAAGAAAAAAAGTAATAATTTGAGAGTCTTTTGCTCAGTGCAAAAGACTGAGGGGGGGGGGTTCTTTTTTTCTCTTTTTGAACCATGAATCGAACTCAGGATCTCATGCCTGCCAGGCAGGTGCCATGGTGCTGAGCTGAATCCCTGGCTCCTCAGAGTCTTAATGAAAAGGAGAAGTCCACTAACATGAAATGTTTATTGACTACATCACTGGTAAATTAAAATAATTCCTTATTAAAATAACCGACAGCAATCTTTGAATTTTAGAGGAAAAAGCTGAAGAACAAAGAAGCTTTTTTAGAATTCTATTTTTATTTTTATTTTTGGCACTGGCTATCGAACTCAGGACCTTGCACTTGCCAGGCAGGCACTTATGCCACTGAGCTAAATCCCCGGCCCTACAATTCTATTTTGGTAATGGAAAATTTCAAATACTGTAATGAAATCTTCATATATCTTTTCCTTTTCCTTGACCAATTCTTGCATTTGAATTCCAGTCCAACTTTCTCTTTTGAGTTTATACATTTTCTTTTAGAGTGTGACCCAGTGCTGACAATAATCTTGAGTTCTCTGTTATAAATAATATAGAAGGCTAAATGTTTGCTACGAGGCTGGCCAGTGAGCTTCAAAACAAGAGCCAAGCTGGGGTTTGAAGGCCACTTCTGTTCCTAATGATTTTGAGGATGTTACTTTACATTTCGGAACTTGAGAACCCTTACCTATAAACTGTAGGTAAAATCAGAAAATGTCTGGACAGTGTCTAGACTAGTGGCCTTCCAGTGATGTCCATCTCCTCAGAACCTGTGGCTAGTGAAAGGGTCTTTGCAGATGTGATCAATGAAAGGTGTTGAGATGGGAAGACATCCTGCATTATTTGTCAGGGTCTGTAGTATGACACGGGACAACATAAACAAAAGACTTAAGTATGGCATAGAAGGGTCATAAGCTAAGGAATGTGGGGATCTTCCAGACACTAAGAATGACAAGTAAACTAACAGTACACGAGTTTCCAGAAGGAACCAGCTCGGCCTACATTTGGACTCTAAATGGTTTAGAGTCTAAATGGTTTGAGACTTTGGACTTCTCCAATGAGATTTTGGACTTCTCTCCAGACTGTAGAATGACTTCGTATTATTTGACATTCAAGGTGATTTCTTACAATAGCAATAGAAAACTCTTGGAGTGTATGAAGCAAGATCATGGCACATAAGATTACACAGTCAAAGCCCAAAGACCTATATCTAATCACTGTCACCATGAGTTGAACAAGACTGTGGATATGGGGATGATCTAAACAATTGTGTCACCTTCGTGGGAAAAACCCAACATACAGTTCAACAACTGCACATTACAACCTATTTATACTAATGTGCATAAGATTATGCCGAGAAACAATTTATATTCTAGTAAGTTCTGAATATAGAAATAGCAAGGAATCAATTTGTGACATAAGTAAAAATTAGGAATGTCATTGCTGAGATCTAACATCAGTCTGAAGATCAAATAGCAAATGTCTTGGTTGGGGTACAGCTAGTGGCACAGATATAAAACCCCACAGTGGAGTGTCTAGGGACGTTCACTGTTCCCTACATTGGTATGTGAATTTCTTTTATCTGCACAATATGTACTGCCCAGTCTCTTCTCCTGCAACTCTAGTGGACAGGGCATTCACTGTCTCCACTAGAACTGAGTGGCTCAACAAGGCAGGCGGCAGTGCAGGAGCAGGAAGAGCGGTTCCTCCGGAGTCCTTGCTTCAGAGGTGACCTTTTCTACTGTGAGAACCGATGAGCAAGGAGGCGGTGATGCCAACTAGGGGTCCTGACTGCCTAATATAAACACCAGCCTGTGTTTCTTCTGTCCGAAGAAATTACAAGCTGGGTGGGTGCTGATGGTAGACTCAGGTCCCAGCCTTGCCACTTACACACTCAGACTCTGTTTCTGAACCTGGGTGAGCTTCTGCTTCCTCCCTGCAAGGTTAAGGTAAGGACTCTGGTAACACGTGACCATGTCTCATGCAGCAGTTATTACAGATCTCAGTCACTGTAGAGGCTACTCCTGCTGCTGCCTGACCGCATCACAACGTGTCATTCTTGGCCACAGTGTTTTGGGAGAGCAAAAGCTGTGGTGGAGGACTGAGCCCTAGATCTACTAGTCAAGGATGTCACAAGAGCACAATAAGCACAGCCCAGAATGACACACCAGACTTTTCCCTGCTAGACTTCCACTCACTCATTCCATGATCCTGTACAAGTCTCCTAACCCTCTGGAATCAGCTTCTTCCTGGGTAAAATAAGGGCAAAGCACGTTCAGGACTGGTTTTAGCTCCTGTGTCTCGAGGCTGGCTGGAGAAGGACTGTGTCATTCCTCCCAGTCTGAGGGGGGAAGAATACTGTAATGGAGGAATGCCAGGCTTGGGAGGTGGCAGTGGAGGGGCTGCGAGGTGACACAGGCCTCGTACAATGGTGCTCCTCCCATCCCCCAGGTGACATGCTTCCCTGCTGGCTTCCCATGAGAAAGCACGTGGTAGAGGGAGTAGCAGGACCTGGCTGGCGGCTCAGCAGAGTTTGCTACCTGGAGCAAGAAGATGAGCGGAAGGATCTCTGGCCTTCCTCCTATTTGTCCTTTAGCTTGCAGTCACTTAGATCAAGACTCCATTCTACTCTAGCAGTGCAAAGAGAACTGGAGGTTCACAGTTATTAAGCACTGTGAGGTCACCCAACTATGGTGAACAGCAGCTGCCCTGGCAAAAAGCACACTGCAGCCCGCGACAGTGCCACTGACTCCTGCCCGTCTTCTGTCCACAGCATACGCGGGAACAAGGAGGAAAGCCAGAGAGGTGAAAGGATGCGCTGACTTGGGGGAGTCCAAGAGGTATGTGTGGTGGTTTCTCTGCTCTTCCTAGTGGCTGAGTGACGCTCCACAGTCTCTGATGCAGCGGACCCACGAAACTAGGGAGAAACAGAGCCCTGATTGCAATTTATTCAGCACACACAGAAAACAACATGTAGGATACCTGATCATGGAAAATTTCATGCAATTTCACGATATTGGGGTGTCCTTCACAGAGTTTCAGAGCTGTTATTTCTTTCTGAGTATTGGCTTCCATCCTGTAAGATGAAGTAGTCAGTATCATCTGCATGTCTCTTCAAACAAGATCTTAATGACAGTATTGGCCCAGCCTTAATTTTGTTTTTATTTATGGTGCATTCAGAATAGAGTATCAAAGTAGCAGAATGAGTTTATATGAAAGTAACAAATCAAATCCCACCAGAAATGTTAGGATTTTTTGGTCTTTTTGAGACAGGGTCTCGCTATGCAGTTCAGGCTGGCCTTGGGCTCACTTTGTAGCCCAGGCTGGTCTCAAACTTGCAAATGATTCTCCTGACTCAGCCTCCCGAGGGCTGGGATTACAGGAGTGAGCCACCATGCCCAGCTTTTAAGTTAAGAGTTTTTCTTGGAGAGAATTATTTGGAGCCAGAAAAGAGCCAGGATGCTCTCTTTGCCTAGCAATGTGGTAACAGGATTACAGACTCATGGGCTGGGGATGTGCCTCAGTGCCTTACACTTGCCCAGCAGTGTGAGGCTTGGGATTCAGTCCTCAGTACAGGGGGTAAAAGACTATGAAATAATGAAGGTAATAATTAGTAACAAAAACAAGATGATCATCACAACTATCAATGGCTTCTTAAATAATTTCAGAGTAAAGTACACCACAAATTTAACTAATAGAAATAGTAATAGCTACTGAAATCACTAAGCAAGTCTGATTAAATGTATTATACAAGTTTTCCCATAATAACTTCAAATGTATAACAGATTATAAGTAACATAAAAGTGGACTGTTTTACCAGAAAATACTTATTTGGCCTAAAAGTACAATGAATCAACTAATGAGCCCAGTGGTTTAGCTGGTAAGGAGAAAGGCTTACAATATATTTTTGGTTTCCTTTTCAATAAAAACTTCTTAATTTATGAATTCATTGACTCAGATAAATATAACAGCAAAACTTTAAGAATGAGTATACCTTTTGCTGATTATTTTCACTGCAAATGCTTGGTTACTTTTTTTGTGTATACATTTTCGACAAATTGAAAAACTTCCTTCTCCTAGTGGTTTGTCCTTTAGATCTAGGTCATAGTGTTGATAGAATGGAGAGTCCTGGTAAGAAATCACATCATTTAACTTAATAAGAGGTTAGTAGTAATATACAAGGGATAAGTTAAACTATAAAGTAATACAACATTATTAATAGTAGTAAATATGAATGAAATACATTTGTCATCTAAAATTCATGTCATTTCATTTTACTTCTATTTTCTTTCTTTTTTTCTGTTTCTTGCCTTTTTGAGACAGGTTTCAGCTGGCCGTGGGCTCACTTTTGTAGCCCAGGCTGGTCTTGAACTTGCAAACAATTCTCCTGTCTCAGCCTGCCCAGTGGTGAGATTACAGGAGTGTCCTACTACACCCAGCTTTCATTTCTATTTTCACCTACATCATTAATTTAAGATACATACTTCTGTATCTGCTTTGTGTGTTTTTTTTTTTTTTTTGTTTTGGTACTGGGGATCGATCTCATGACCTCACGCTTGCCAGGCAGGCTTTTATGCCACTGAGCTAAATCCCCAGTAAAATCCCCAATACTTCTGTATCATAAAAAGGAGCTTATTCAAATTAATGTTAATCATTCTTTAGGGCAAATACTGCTATTTCCATTTATTTATTCATTTTTGAAAACTACATGCATTAGTTGAATGGTAAATCATTAAATTTATGGAACTAGAGAATGCTAGTGTTAATATTTAAATATTCATGCAAACCACGAAGTGATCACGTGTCTATACCTTCATCATGGCACTCCTGGCCACATTTGTCACTCCGGGACGTTCAACTTCCATGTGAAACTGAAGAGGATCGATCACAGCTGCGTTACGCTTGAATAGGATGGAGGGAGCAACAAAAGAATAGCCCTAAGAGAGGGAAGGCAAGGTGAAGACTGAGGACTCGCCATGTTACAGTGTAGCACAGACTCGAGTAAGATGATTTCTTCTCTTAGAAACACAGTCAAGTAATTGTTGAGATGAATCTAATTTCATGTTATTTTATTTGTAATCCCAAATGCAGTCATTTTAATTAAATAGAGAAATGCTTTTCAGAAGGAGATAATGCCATCTTCTGGCAGAATTAAATCAATTCAATAATAAAGGTAGAAAAATACTTCTTTTTTATCTTAATTTCAAAACTGACTCAGAGCTATTCTTCTTTTGCTTTTGCTAGTAACTGTTTGCTTATAAACATAGCTGACAGTGGGACGAGTGGTTAAGGTGCTGGACTGCTAAACATAGCTGGTTTTTCAAAACAAGTCAAGATATAAAACAAAGTAGCCTGTCTCAAACTAGAAAACACTAAAAACTAGAAAAATAATAATTTTGGGGCCATGTATTTGGCTCAATGGCATAAGTGCCTGCCTGGTAAGTGCAGGGTCATTGATACCTGGTACCAAAAAAAGGAAAAAAAAAAAGAAGAAGAAAAAAAATAATTTTCATTAGTTTCTAATTCAGCAATTGTTTGACTTGCATTCTATTTCTAGAAAACAGTTAAACAACATTGGGTTTGAAAAGGAGCAAATGATGTGGTGATCTAGAAGTTTTATGATAGATGTTTAATGTATTCAAGCCAGAGCACTTACTAGTTCATCAACAAACATCTACTCAGTGTGTTGTCATCTGCTAGACAGTGGCATGAAATGTGCAAGAGACCCAGCTGGGATGGTCACACTGAACCACACAGCACTTAGAGGAGTGTCGGTTAATAGACTGCCTTAAGTCTGATGAACTTTTTTTTTTTTTTGTACCAGGTATTGAACTCACGACCACACGCTTGCAAGGCAGGCGCTTATGCCACCGAGCTAAATCCCCAGCCCTGAAGAACTTTTCTGTATTAAAATTCTTTCTCACTCTTTATGAGTGGGAAAGCAATAAGATTATTTGCTGCAGATAAAAAAACAGATTTTATGACCTAAAGAATATTTTATATTGAGATACAAATAAAGCATTATTTTAATTTCTACCAAAAAGCCTGAACAAAAGTAAAATTTTAGGTATAATATCGGCATCTACTTATACAAAAATAAACACTTGCTATTTAGTAACCATTAGCTTCAATTAGCAATCCAAAATGTTATACTTAATACTCCTCAAGATTAGAGAACCCCAGTTTTAAGATGCCAGCAAAATGACTTTAACATGGGGAAACCGGTGTTTTTCCCAAAGTGAGGTGGCCAGCACACACGGGCGCCTGGGAGATTACCTGGAACAGCCTCTCCGAGCTCTGGGGCAGGGCTGCGGGAGAGTAGGTGGGGTCCATCTCCGTGAACTCTTCCGCGAAGTTACTCACGTCCAGTTCATCTCGGATGACTGGCTTAAATGGTGCAGGGACTTTTTTGGCAGCTAAGTCATCCCAATTTATTTTCTAAAGCAGCGAAGAGGAATTGATAAAAAGCAGAAGTAAGTAAAGGTTGCATGCATCTCCTATGAATAACAAAGCCAGGTTAGCATTTTGATTAATTGGAAGAGAAGTTAAAAATAATGGCACATATTTCAAACTAACAATCCCTGCCTCTTCCAGGTGTAGCAGAGCTGGAGTAGAGGCTGTCTGAAGGTGAGCCCGCTTCCCTCCGCGGCAGCTCACAGTGGCCTCTAGGGGGCACCAACACACCCCGATTCAGCCTTACAAATACCAGAAAAATACTTTGTCCTGGGCTTCTGGCAAAGCTCGCCCAAACAAAAAACCTAAAACAAAATTAAGCAAAACGAGAATGCAATGAAGGGTTTAAAATGTTTTGTGGATATTAATATGAACTCTAAAGAACCAATTTTTATTTTCTAGAGGCAACGTCATCAGAGGGTCTCCGAGTTGTACTTGCTTTTCCTCTGGGTCATCTAGACGGATTAAAAGGTCCAAGCCTCTGCTTATGTCCTTAATTTAAATGATGCTACTACACTGACGCCATTGCTCTATTCTCAGTCAGCTGTACTCACATTCCAACACGGCCTCTTAACTCCCCTGAAGGAGAGGCAACATCCCCCTTCCTATCCATACGGGACACTTGCTGAGTAACTGGCATAATTTTATTACAGTTCAACCCTCTATCGCTTCCTTATGTTCCCTTTTCACTTCAGACACCCTTACATTAATACTTACTGACTTCTACAGATCTCCCTTTACTAAATTTCTTCAAATCTAAAATGTCATTATTGACTACACTATGCCATACCCGTAAGAAAGGAAAGAAGCATAATTATAATCACGAGACGACTGATGTCCATTGTAAGATGCACACTGCTTTAAGGGACGGCAAAATGTGAAAATCTATCCTTGCTGGTTGATGACTTTTGCTAGGTTTAATTGTCACCACAAAATGTTTTTATTATGCTCCCTTGTTGAAAGCAAAGGAAATAAAATTATTAAATTACAGGTATTTACATTTTCCTTTCCAGCTAGAATGGGTTTTAAAGATAATTTAGTTCACCTTCTTTATTTGATCCAGAAGGAAATTGAGGCTCAGAAATAAGAATTGCCCTTTTCTTTTAAACCCTAGCTTGTGGAAGAATTAGGATTTGAACGGTCTCTTAACTTTCTGACTAGTGTTCTTTCCTCTATACAGCTGTAATGTTTCCATTAAAAGTGTATAATTTGCGTTTTGCTATTGTAAAGTTTCTAAAAGAAACTTCTAGAGTAAAGGGGTAATTTGGAGAAGTACAGTGTTAGCATGAGAACGTTTAGTATGCAGAAAATTGAACGCTATTGTGACACTCCCACTCCTGCTCCACTTACAGAGACCGCTTAGGTCTTTACAGAAAGAATTTTGGTCATTCTAAAAGTTTGTCACTTAAAAAGCCAAAGCAGTTGAATAGTTTAAAATTACTACTCCAAGTTATCAAGAAGAGGAATTTTTCTAACATGAAAGACATATTACAATACTCACAAATGCAGGGGTCAATGAAGAAAAAGACCCTAGGAAAAGATAAACTGGGAGAATTTTGGTTCCATACTTTCTTAAATTTTACTTGATTGTTAATCTTTTGGGAAAGCTTACAAATAAGATATTTGAAATAGTTTGTTCAAATGGTAATCTGTCTAAGCCAACTGAATTTGTGGAATAAATACTGAGTTCGTTTTATCTCAATGTATTTCTCAGTATGTTTATTTCAACTATATTTCTATGTTCTTGCTAAACTTCTGTGAAACGTGAAGTAGCATTTTAAAAAATGATTACACTGAGAGCCTGAAATAAACATGCTCTTTTTTGAGCACTAAAGTGTACAGAGATAGTTCTTACTTTCAATGAATATTTGTTTTCCTATATTTAAGAAGCAGTAAATTAAAAGTGCTTTAAAAAGTGCTTTAAGAGTAAATAAAAAGATTTTTTGTATATTTATTTGTATTGGTAATAACAAAAGTTTTAGTTTAGAATAAAAAGTTTTAGTTTAGAACAAAAGTTTTAGTTTAGAATAAAAAAGAAAACTTGGATGATATAAACATTTAGATCATGCTTGTTGAAATGATGAAAGTATTTAAAAACATTTGCTTAGCATATTAGAAAGGAAGGCCATGGCACCCCCGGTTTGGCCACTTAGACAATCTAGCCAATTCAGTCATTAATATTTGATATATTCTTGGACTAAGCTGAACAACCAAAACTAATGTGCTATTGCTCAGTAGAATGGTCTCCTACTAGGCTTCTTCATTATAAAAAAGCAGCCACAAAGACAAAGACGATAAAAGACCAACTCTGTATATGCCACGGATATGACTGAGAACCTGTGCACAGGTTTCACTTTTCTAAGATTTTTCCAGGGACAGAGGGAGAAATGAAATCACTATCTAAAAGGTGAAACATGGTGTCAGTAACAAGCTCGTTGGCCAAGAGAGAAGCAAGAAATGCGACAAGTCCCCTTTGTCTCTGTGCTAGAATCCAAAGGTCACTTCTCAGAAAGTAACTGATCAGTATGGAGAAAACGGAACACTATTATTATAATCCTCCTCTCTCCCTCTGCACTCAGGGAAAAGACCACTCAGCGCTACAGAAAATGAACTGTGGCCCTTCCTTAGGGTTTTTGTTTAAAAAAAAAAAAAAAAAAAAGCTGGGCATGGTGATGCATTCTGGTGGTGAGGCAGGAGAACGGAAAGTTTGAGCCCAGCAGCATCTTAGGGCGATCCTGTCTCAAAACAAAGGCTGGGGGCTGTAGCTCACCGCAGAGGCCCTGAGTTTAAAAGTGTTAACATAGGTGAAACAGGTGGAAAATAACCCCCAGGGGAGCCGTGCCTAGCGCTGACAGCAGCAGGAGTGTGAAGCTACCCATCTATCTGCTCAACAAATTTCACCTGGAAGAAGAGATGTTCTTTAATTTCATCTGCATCCCGTGGCCCACAGCCCAGTCTCTTCTTGGGATCTTTCATCAGAAGACGCTGAATCAGGTCTTTAGCTAATGCACTCATTTCTTGGGGATATGGAGGCTCACTTTTTAATATTCTCCTGTAGGTGACAAAATTTGCTGTTAAAACAACCAAAGGATGATGTTACAAGTGACAGATGGTTTTTAAAAGCAAAAACAAGTATGGTAAAATATATTCTGAAATTGAACTACATTTGTGAGCAAAAAAAATACTTCAGATTACTTATTAAAGCAAGAAAAAATACGTAAAATAGACCAATAAAGTTTAAAAAGTATTTAAAAATGAGATACCATGAAGTCATATTTCTGAAACTCAAGTAAGCAGAAATAAAAATTACTGCATTATTTTCAGTGTAAGTCAATTCCATTGGGAAGCTAAAATCCCAAATATTTCAGTGGGCAAAATACCAGAAGGTAGAGCTTAAGACTAGATTGGATAGCCTGCATATAGACGAGGCTCTCTATTTCAAAACTTCACAACATAAAGAACTCAGAAAACTCAGGTAATTGAATTTAGCACTCAGATTTAAAAGAATAAAAGGAAATTCAACTTTCGCCGTCTCCTGCCTCCCTCCCTGTGGGCCAATAGGAATGAAGAGGAAAGTCAGAACCACTTGCAAATGAGCCCCTCTTGATACCTGAGTACAGGTACCAGAGATGCAGCCTGCCTGGGTTGACTGAATCTGCTTCATTATTTGCTGCCTGAAACAGACAGGCAAGCCAGAACAGTGAGTTAATGAGAAAAGTAATGAGTGATTACAATTAAGACTCTCAATATATTATGCACGAAGATGAACAGTTACCTCATTATCTGGGTTGGCAGATCCCTGTTGTACATATTAATAACTACTATGGCACGAAATCAGACAATACATATGCAAGAGACAATACACTGTAGTTAAGAACATGGACTCTGAGGCTGGATTGAGTTCAAGGCAGGTTTTCATCCTTACCATGTGAACTTATTAACCTCTGTGCCTATTTTTTTCATCTGCAAAATGGGAATAACAACAGTACCTAAAATGGGTATCATGCATGAAGACGTGCATTGTGCTTAACAGAGTACCTGGTACTGAGCAAACCCTTAGAAATCTGAGTCCTTCTCATCATTCTAAGACAACCAGAAAGGAAACAGACATAGAAGCTACTGAAGGAGCGGCTGAAAATTGTGAAATGATAATGGAACTTCACTTTGACAAAAAATTATAGCAATGTTGTTAAGGTAATGTCATTCTACTTCTGGTACTCCACTCTGGTAACCCAAGAAAATGCATTCCCTCTCCTGTTGCTTTGTTAACATGTCCCCCCAGCTTAGACCCCCAGTGGTACATGCATGACTGTCTCACATATACCACCAGTGGACCAGCGCTGTCCAGCAGTGAGACATACAGATTAAAGCCTGTTGTGAATGTCTCGGGGTTCTGTCACTATTCACAGTTTGCAGTGTTCCTAGCAGGATCAGATTCAGTCCTCTCTTTAGGTCAGACACAGGCGTATATTTGAGAAAGACATGGGAAGCTTCTTTTCAGGGGAAAATAAATAGACTTTCCAATTTTCTCTGCCTTTTTGTGGGAAAGAATTCCCGTATAAAGAATGGAGATAACAGATAAACGTGCTGATGGAAACATGCTATTGTGGCTTTGGGGCAGAGAAGTATGCACTGTGGCTGACATCATCTACTGCTTCTTAAATGTTGGGCAGGTGGCAGTGTGTGTTGGAAATCACTCTGTATCCAGTACTCGGGAAAGCTGAATTAACCCATGAATTCACAGAAAACAGCAATGTCCACCGTGGTGGGTCCACCCTGAGAACAGTGACGGCTCTACTGAACTGCCAAGCCTGGAGAAAGGAAGACAAGGTGACCCTGCCCAGGTCAGGGGCTTGTCCTGAGTGGAAATCAGCACTGGTGTGCAGTGGGGTCTGTGAAATGGGCTTCAGCAGGGAGCTGAAATTTTAAATTCTTATGAGATAAAGAGCACTTCGGGAATAAAATGAATGGAATCTAATGGAAGTTCTGCTGCAAGCAGTGCTGGCAAGGGAACATGGAGATCCATGGGTGACAGCCCCAAACCATCCCCTTCCCCAAAATCCGTGCAGAACCAACATGAGTAATTCTAGTAGATGATGGTCAACATTCCAGCACCCCATCCTAGAGGAGCAAGAGCAGGAGCCATGCATCAAGACTCCCTGAAGAACATCAGTCAGACTCCTGTCACCCCGGTAAAAGGGGACACAGGGCTTCGTTGGTCACATGAGGGGTTCGGTAGCTCATTCCTGTTAAAAATTGCATTTCAGGAAGAGGTCCAGGAACGAGGGTGGGGTGGTGAGGAGCCCCCCCTTTTCTCTCTGGGAAGATGACCTCAGATTTCCTTTCTGCTTAACTGTTTCCTTGAGATGTACCGGTTAAGATGAATGTGGCAGCTGTGCCAGGTCGTTGGCAGCCAGCCCTGGAAGACAGCCTCACCTTGGCTGAGATGCGAGCAGACACAGAGGTCCTGAGCAGTTTTTCTTCCAGGACTATGCTAAGGATTTTCAGGAGCATGAGACACTGTGCATTATTCCTCTTCCCAAGGTAAAGACACAACAGTCGCACTAATTCCCACGCAGGGGTCACCCACGTTTGTTGTGTGGTCTTCTCACTATAGGGTGGGTGTGTGCTGTGGGCTGGGAAGCTCTGCTAAGGTGGCCAGAAGGCCCAATAGGGCTATTTTTGATGCTGTCATGCTGACACACTGTTCTTTCTACAGAGGGCAAGGTTACCTGAGCTCTATGGAGCTAAATAACCCAGGTGCCAGATTCCAGCTGTGTGTGATTTGTGACTGTCCATGCTCATCAGAAGTTGGGGCCCAGCTGGCACTGCAGAGGCGGTGACGATGGAGGACTCCCATGGGTCATCTGTCATTAACAGCACTACAGCACCCTGCAGCAAGGGCAGGGAGACATTTCTTGGCTACTGCTGCCACTTTGTCTCCTTCAATTCATTTGATTTCTGAACTGGTAAAAATCCCAAATAATAATTTTTTTGGCTTTGGATCTGGAAAACTCTAGAAATGGACTGCAATTAGGACCAAATAAATCTTAGACAATTCTGTAAAACCAGAATAGCTTCTGAGTTGACATACCACACTCAGTATGTGTGATCATGTAATTCATATAACAATCCCATCAAAGACCACTAGCATCATCCCTGTTTTATAGAGAACAAAAATGTCATTTCAAAATAGCCAGAAACATAAATACTAATTAAAATTTCAACAAGACATCTTTAAATATGAATGGCTAGGTTTGTGAAAATAAGAACATGATATAGTTAAGAACATTCTGAAAAAGAAAATTGGGGACAATCTGCCTATTTATTAGAGTTGACCGTGAAATAAAATTGTGAAAGTAAAGTTGCAGCAAAATAAACAGTAAAACTAACAGTAAAATGAAGTCAACAGAACAGACACCTTGAAAACACCCAGGCATTTATAAGATCCGTGAGCAGACCACTGTATAGACTGCATTCTTCAACCAATGTGTGAAAACCCGCTAGGACCCTGCTTTGTACCACAAACACCAAACAAATTCTGAATGGATGGGCAAATGTAAAAAACAAGACGAAATGAAGTTATAGTCCATAATAATGTAAAAATGAATACAAATATTCTTCCTATACATGATTTTCAGTTTCTGAAAACCTTTGCAGTAAAAGAAACGGAAACTTAGCTTTAGAACTTACAGAATGAAGGCCAAGGACACCAAGCTTAAAATTAAACCTCTGATAGACAGGCAGTAAGCAAGGACGGTAAGACAGTCACGGTGCAGCCTGGTGGCCTGTGGGGGCCACTGTAACAAATGTCTGAATATTTTCACAAGAAAAAGTTTTAGAGAAAATGAATGTATGAAACACTGTGCATGTGTTTTCTAGGTGAACTGAAAGATACAGTAAGGAACTGTCTCTAGGAAAGCATGACTGACCTTTCACACAGCAGTGCTTGCAAGAACGGGCAGTGTTCCTTCCTTACCCCAGGAAGGTCTTTCTTCCAAGGTCACCTTTTCAGAGAAGTCTTCCTGACCATTCCACCCAATTTAGCCGTTCCTTCATCTTTGCTCTTTACTCTGCTTTATTTTTCTTCATGGCATCTATAGCACATTGTGTATTTATCTGTCTATTATTTCTCTCTTCCAACTAACATGTAAGCTCTAACAGAGGCAGGATTCTGTTTTGTTCACTGGCTTATTCTCAATTCAGTGAGTCAGCAGGCGCCTAAGCTAGACACTGCATCTTGCTCACTCAGGAGTTTCTTCTTCGGTTTTATTGAGATGCTTGCAATTACCTTTACGGTGTGTTAGCAGATGGCATGCATTCTAATGCATCATTGTTTGGTTCCATTTTTCCCATTAAAAGTTCATAATTTTTATATGTCATCACTTCATGCTGCGGATGCTCACTTTCTGGTTCTCATGTGATCCCAGAATTACAGAATTATTTATATGTCTCCCTAAGTTAGAAACAGTTTTCAGTAAACTTCTTTTACTCCAAGTTTTGGCCCAACACTACTGGAATAGTTAACTATATTGTAGGGTACACACTAAGTAGTATATCACACAGTGCTTACAAAGAATTTGTAATTAGAGAATGTTAATGACATAGCAAAAACTGAAACACATAAAACCATGTTTTTAGGAAGAGCCCATCATACCAGTAAAAAAGAATACATTAAAATATTTACAGGGGTGTTATTACTGGTAAATTTCCCCTTCATGTGTGTTTTGGGCTATCATTTATATTATTTTTAGAATAGTGACAATAAAATGAACTTAATTTCCAAATCACAAGTCCACTGGTGGAGAACAAAGGGCAGCGGGGAGGCCAAGGGTCCAGAGGCAGCTGCACACGCACCAGCACTTCGGCATTCTCCCCCTCCCCCCAGCCTGTGCTGCTCTCACTGTGACACCCACCGGCAACCTGGTGCCCAGGAACCATACTGTCTTTGCACTCGCACAGCATTCTGCTTGCCATTCACACGTCTGTCGAAACTCTCTGCCACTCTGAGTTTTCATGTGTGTCTCCACATCTCTGCACACACTATGTATG